AATCCGTTTCCCATGCCTGGACTTCCCAAACATGGGAAAGCAATTGAATTCCCATTCCCAAGCCTCCTTTCCCATGAACCAAACGGCCCCTAAAAGACTTATGAATTTGTTTCGAAGGATCAAGCTTCAACATATCTATAGAGAGAGGAATGATGTAGCTGATGGGTTGGCTACTTGGAGTCACAATCTAGACTTGGGCTGTTACTATCTTGAGGAGAGTCCTGCCTGGCTTGGTTATTTATTATTGCTTGATCCAAAAAATAATAATAAAAAAGGTTAAAGGGGTTTTATTAATAAACATTTGGACCAGACTTTTTAAAAAGACCTACAAGTTATTAATAAAACTTTGGGCCATACTTATACATAACCCAGACTTTTCAAAAAAACCTACAACTAGTGAAACGGTGAGTTTCAACTAAACTAAGGCATAAACTAGGGCAAATACCAACATCATCTTCTTCGCTGCCTTTGCAACCCAAAAAAAATTCAAGTCGTGGTGCTACTAGAGTAGAGCAAATGCGTATGGAAGAAGTTTAGAGAGCAGCACAAGGCAAGCCAACAAGGGACTTTCATCGAGCACCTTGCACACAAGGGGTCACTCAGATAACGGCCAAGGGGTCGCCGATGGAGTCCACAACCAGATTTCTGGCATCCCAAGGGGACGTGACCCCTCTTATCCCAACGTGCGCCAGCCACTGGTTCTTTGGATCAACTACAGTTTACCTCCAAATTATGGGGTTATTAAAAATTCATACTCAACTTTTAGAGACCTGTTTGACTGATACCCCAACTTAATAAAACATTTCAAAAGACACCCTTCATTAATAAGCCCTTTAAAAATTCTATTAACGGATAATGTGACAAAAGTGAATCTCAATTTTTGTGTTGACGTAGCATCCAAGTAGACTAAAAATTAATTAAAAAAATTATCTTTTAATAAATATAAAATAAAAAACAAAACCTTATTTCTTAAAATACGTCACACGTGTGCTGTCTTGTATGACTACCATAATTATCGCTATTTGTCACTAATTACCAAAAAGAAAAGTATATTTTTCAATTGTTTTTAAACTTGTGACAGCCTTTTTTATTTTTAAATTGATAAATAAGGATTTCTACAGATATTTTGGTGAAAAAAAGAAGAAGAAAGAAAGGGGGTTTTTCGTAAAACCCTGCTAACCTAGCTAAGCTTACTCTTTGCAGCCCAACCCGCCAGGTAAAACCCTAGCACTCTCTCCATCGTTTCCGGTTTTCATTCCTGGTCCAAAAGTCTCTGTGACTCTACAATTAATTGTCACAAGCAATCAAATTTTGAACTCTCCCCCATTAGCAGCAGCCAAAAGATTAGACCTTGATTCGGTTTGGAGCACAAAAATCCATGGCCGAAGAAACCCATATGGCAGAAGCAGCAAGCGAACCAAGGAAGAGGAAAATTGGGAAGAAGAAGGGTTCCAAGGCTAAGAAGAAAGCAAAGATGTTACAGTCAGCGGAAGGCATTAGAGCCATGAAGCCTAAGAAGATTGACAAGAAAATGCAGAAACTGTATCGGAAACGAGCCCGAGACTACAATTCAGAGGACGAGTCCGAACAAGACAACGCTACACCTTTGGGCAACAATGAGGATGAGCTGATTGGTGGGTCTTCTTCAGGAGAAGAAGCAGAGAAAGGTGGCAACCACAGTGAAAGGAATGTGGATAATGGGTTCTCAGATGATGAGGAGCACGGTGAGATTCTGCCCGGAATCATGAGATTTACGGAGGGTAGCAATGCGTTTAGGTTGGCATTCAGGAGTATAATAAAGAAGACTGTTCCCGAAGATGTTTTGGTGAGATAGAATTGAACTCTAATGTCTAATTGTTTAGGTTTTGGGATTTTTTTGTGCGTGTTTAAAGTAACAAACTTCGAGTGCTTCGCAGGGGCCGGTGTTATCGGGGCAAAAGAATCTTGTTGCAGAGAAGCTTGCTGAAGAGGAGAATGAGCGCAAGGTCAAGGGTGAGGCTAAGAAGGAAAAGCAATTGGTAATTCATATCTTCAATTTGTTTTTATTGTAATGTGTATGAATGTATCTGCAACTGTATGTTTACGGTTTAATGCTTACTTTTTAGTTCCTTTTAATTTAATAGGTAATAGAAAAGGGGCATGTGAAGCCTGCCAACTATTTGGACTCGCATGAAAAGTTTCTAATTGGTGTTGCTACGAAAGGAGGTACCCCATTTTTATCCGCTTGGTTAAGATATATGTGATCAGGGGTTATTTCTCTTATGGGCATTATCAAATTTCTTCTCATACTGACTTAATTCACATTTACCATGTGCAATGCTGGACTCTCAGTGGTCAAGTTGTTCAATGCTGTAAGTTGCTTTATGAGAATCTAATCTTGTTTGCTTGTTTTCAAACCTTAAATTTTAAAAATTTAAAGATTTTTTGTTTTGATAAGATTGTATTCTGCTGTCACATTGAATCGTGAGTTCCTATTGGTGTCTAATGCAGGTCAACAAGGCACAAAATGCTCAGAAAGGACTGAATCCTTCCAAGTTTAAAGATGCAAAAGGTGTGCTTTTAGCACTGCAGCTACAATTTGAGAACCCTCACTCTTCTTGCCAGTTTACGTTAGGTTTTTAGATATCAACTATGGACTTAAGTTGGTTTTAAAATTTTAACTGAAAATGAAAGTAATATGTCGGTATTACAGTCTAATGTGAGATTGGAAGCATACTTGTCATCATATCAATATAAACTTTTCTCCTCGACCCCCCCTCCCATCCCTCCCTCTCTCTCTCTCTCTCTCTCTCTCTCTCTCTCTCTCTCTCTCTCT